AGTTTCCATTTAAAGCACCGACATGGGCGGGTGCGGATCCTCTTGCGGATACTTTTTGAGATTATACACCCTCTTTAACAGGATTGCAAACAATCTTGGACACCCTCTTTCAGACAATCATGCAAGTGGACAGGTGCTTGCTTTTGAAATAAAATAATGCCCCCCCCCCCCCCCATATTGCAAGGGAACCCGGGAGTCTCCCTAATTTTACCATGGTTTTGTGATGCCCTCCTCCAAACAATGAGTCTTCCCAAACTCTGTCAGCTTCCATGACTGGAGAGAGGGTACCCTTTTGGAGCAGCTTTAAAGGGGACTATGTTGAAGACACACACAAAAGTGTTTCTGGAGTTGGTTTCCTTGATGTACCAACCAAAACGGGTCCACCATTCTGAGAAATTAAACCACTACTAGCCCTTCTATTTGACTTTGACTTCTCAGTTGCCCACCCAAGCAAATGGCTGGCTTCACGACTGCTTGAGTGTGCCCATTTCCTCGTTGGTTTGTGGAAAATCGAGCATCCATGTCGCTCCAATTCTTGCTTTCCTCCCTCGAAGCCAGCCCAGCCCGCCAGACAATTCTCGTGCTTTGTCACCAAGCTGAAAACAAGTCACGGATACAGCTGGCTAAAGCAGCCCACAAGACAAAGAGGCGCCACTTCAGCTGACCCTTGTGATCGACCGGGGCCAGGTCTCCGAGCGAGAGCCTTTCAGCTGAATGCATGGGGTTCGTTGGCTTTTTTCGTCTCCATCCGAGGGGAGCCGCAAAAGAGCGAGTAGTTTACACACAAATGCAAGTGAGCTTGGATCTGTCAAGTCAAGAAGTATCATTTAAACTATTCGGGTGCGTCCTAGAATGAGGCCAGACTCCGTTCAAAAAAGAACACCCACTCATTCCAACAGAGTCCCGTACAAAAAACAAAAACAAAAACGGCCTGGAACGGTGAAGGCGGGGGCGGAGGAGTGCTGGTACCTCCCATGATTTTGCCAGCCAGGTGGGGGCCATCCCATTCGCAGTCGATCAGTGGGGTTCAATGCTGTCCTCTCAAACAATCGGGGGCTGTGTTTCCAAAGGCTGTTCAATCTGAGGGGGAGGCCTTTGGCCAATCCTAAGCAACTTGCAATGAAACTGGCCAAACATCTGGTTGTTAATATGACCCCAACAGAAATATCGGTCAGAAGGTGGACCTCTTCGTACCTTTTCTCTGAGTGCCCTGCCAACACTCCTCCACACTGGTCGCACCAAGTGGGCACCAGGAAGACCTGGACAGCACAAACACACAAACACACAGACGCACAAACAAACAACAAATCAAACAAACAAACAAACAAACAAACAAACAAACAAACAAACAAACAAACAAAAAGAGGTCCAAGCACACACACAAAACAACAGATGGACCCTTGGAGCTTTGGTGCAAGCCAAACTAGCCACCCTTTTTTGTTTTGCTTTTGGAACGCGTTTGCTCTGTAAAACATCGACCGTTGGACAAACGAACTTCCCGCGGGGATACGGAGGGCGCCACATGGGCCCCATCTCAAACTTAGAGGTGCCATCAAATGGGGGAAGCCTCAACCGTATCCAACTGGTTCCCCTATCCCTAGTTGGTTCCCCCCTGCTAAATTTAACTTCTAGTGGTTTAATACGGAAAACCCATGAGTTGGCAACAAGTTGTTCAGTCCTACCATCCCTTGGCAACATGCACCAAAACATATATAAACCGAAACTTGGTTTGAGGTCACCCTTTGATCCAAGGCCCTGCGCCTTGGGCTTGAGGATGTGCGCCACCAGGGGCTGCCGCGTAGGGCTGGACCTTGGCCGATGGGCATCGGCGAATAGCGGGCGCGTTTTTGGGGGGCGCATCGAAGGGCGCCAAAAAAAATGGTCGAGCGCTCCCCGGGTTTTCTTTTTCTCGGCTTGGTGTGGGAAACCAAAGGGACACCTGAAGCCATGTCCTTTTGAGTGTACGGCTTTTTCGCGGAGGAAAAACGGAAGGAGAACAGAAGCCATTTTGGGGGGTCCAACCCTAAACTCTTTTGGGTGCGTTTGGTCGAGTCAGTCTTTGAAAAAGCGAATGGCATGTGCCCTGCCCCGCTTCGCGGCAAGACTCGGAGCCTGCGTTCTGAGCCGTTCAGGCCTTCCATTTTTCTCCCCCCCCCCCCCCCGGCTGTGCCTGTTGGCCCCAAATATCAAAAAAGCAGGCAACGGGGCTTGGCGAAAGAACCAGGTTCCCTTGTAGGCATGGAATTCTCCATGCTTAGTGCCGAGCTCCTTATGTTGAAACAGTTGCCGATTGAAAGTGGCCGCCATGGCCCGGAAATGTTGAGTGGCCCCAGGTTTGTGCAAGGATCACGCGGTCGATTCCCGCCACATTGCAAGCAGGGAAGTGTAAACATTATGTCTACTCTACAATGTGGTGTGGTTGAATTACTTGCAATGTCGCAAGAGGTGCTAACACTGGAGACCACAAGGAAGTGATGTATAGATCTTGGAAAGTCAATAAGCTCTGAGATGCTGGTTCTGCGGAGGTTGCAACACACTGAGCATGTTGACTGCAACCCTTCGGTGGCGACTCTTGTTCTTCAACCCTGTTTGACCAAGAAACTTCAAACAACTGGGTCCCCAACAGAATGGCAACTCTTCTCTGTGTTGAGTGCATTTGCCAAGGGGCTGGTCATTTCTCTCAAATCAGGTGCTGCAAGCATGAATTACAGCTCCAATGAGGCTGAGTCTACTAAATAAACATTGCCCCCTTTCTCCTGTGAGCAAACTCAGGAACTTATGCTGACACTACCAAGCTCCCGATTGGGCCCCGGAAGCACAAGTTTTCCCAGTCAAAAGGGACCCCCCAAATCTGGGGAATGCAGCAGGGCTGACAAAATCTCTGATGGCTCGCATTTCTTTCGCAGAACTGTTGTCACAACATCGCCGCTTCGCTGGAGAAAACTCTCCGATGTCAGGACCTCCAAGACTTTGGAGCACCGCTCCAAATGAGGAACCGTAGTCGGTGTGTGTGTGTGTGTTCCCTTGAAAACGCCCCTCAAAACCCGGAAGCTCATGAGTTTCTTTCTTTGTTTCTCCGTTCTCAAAGTCAGAACACCGGGGGGTTGTGTCCCTTTAACCCACCACTCCGGGGGTGACTTTGCTCAATGTGACTTTGCTCAATGTATAATCAGGCCAGCCCAAAAAAAAGAAGAGAAAACAACGCCACCCCTGGGGGGTGGGGCGGGGACTTTGCTTCATGTTGCGCGAGGCAAAAAAAAGGAAACCTCGAAACGGGCAGAGCAAAAAACCGCGGAGCGCGGAGCTCGGCGCCAGGCATGGCCAACCCAGCCAACCTCAGTGCAACGAGAGCATCCGTCGACCTCCGGCGGCGGCTTTTCTTATGGGCGGCTCACTCGTCGTTTCTTTTTGAGTTGGTACCCCCCCCGGCCTGTGGGTGGCTTTCAAGGGGAGACCAAAGAAAACAAGAGACCTCAGAACCCCCCGGCCCGAAAGGCGAAAAAAAAGTCTCACGCCAGAAGTGGTGTGCGGAAAGCGCAGAAGTGCGGCGCTTTGGTCCAAAGGCCTCAAGAAATGAAAGGCAGGTGCCATGCGACATCTGTCCTCAGATCTCTTGCAAAAAATAACAACTTTCACCCGGGGTGAAAGAAAACAAATCAAATATTATTCAAAAAAAGAAATGGCCACTGAACACCCAGAAACTTTTCGGGACCCGGAAAGCTCGCTCGCCAAGTTTTCAGCTTCCCATCGATCTTCGCTGTTCGAGCTCCAGGGGCCAGGCGGCCAGGGGTGAACGCTCCCCTGTCCCGTAGCCTTGAGCCGATACCCCCTGCGGCATAGGAGGACGCCAACCTCAGGACAAACTCATGCCCTTCGTTTGCTCTGCCCAAAGGACCCAGAAACAAAAGGTGAACCTTTTGGGACCTTTGCTAAAAATAGACCAAACTGGGAAGAACAAAAGGTTAAAAGGTCGGGTTTGGGCAACTGAATTTGGTAAGAGCCAGGGACCCGTTCAACCCAAACCTCCAATCCAAACGACCTCTTAAGGGTAACCTGACAAACTGCAGTCGCTAGTTGCCCCGGTCAAAAGCACCGGCAGTTTTTCCTCAGTGGTGGGCAAGCTCATGAGTTCCCCATGTTGGGGAAGATTGTGCGTTGCCCATGTGCCTCCCAAATTGGAGACGAGTTGGATACTTCAACAGAACCTCGGACGGGCGTTTCCCCAAAACAGAAATCGGCCCATGATGGAAAACTTCCCGAAACAGGAGACCCATCCGAATGGTTGCTTTGCTGGTTTTGCCTCCAGAACAAGCGAACCAACAACCAGTCCAGCCCAGAGCTGCAGTTGGTTGGTGTTCCTTCGACCCACAGCCACCCAACCAACCATCAGGATTTTATACTGTGGATGGACGAAATCCCGCACCACTTGGAAACAATGGGAAACCATTGTTTGTTGGTATCTGCAGGGGAATCATCATTCTAGGGTTTCTTAGAAGGTGCAGGATTTCGTCCATCCACAGTAGCTGGTTTCCTTTAGGGCTTAGCCTTACAGGAACGAATCAAAGGATCTGTTCCGATAGGGACCCCCTTTGTTCCGGGATGGTGTTCAATGCAAAATAAATATGTCATAAGCGACCCTACAATCTGGAAAATGCTTTGGATGCCTGTGGATTCCGCCTATTCCTGCTTACCTTTTTAGAGGGCTATTGCGCACTTTTCCTGGGGTCCACAGGGTGCCGCAACTCCTTTTTCGCGGCCCGGACACAAGACACAAGGAAACTGCCCATTTTCCCCACCCACCCCCACCCGCCCCCCTTGATATACCTCATGCAAAGGATCTTGGTTGCTGTTGACCCCCCTGCAAAAAGTTTTTCTTTTTGGAGATTTAGTGGAAAACCCCTTGGTTTCCCAAAAAGCTAAAGTCTAAAGATCTAACCCAGCAGCCAAGGGATATTGCGGATGTTCGCGGAAGCCATCGTCGCCTCAATGAAATAACCAGCCTCGTCCACAAAGATCTCCGTAAAGCGCCCGCGGATGCCAGGAGGCAACTCCTGGCTGCGGGGAAAAAGAGGATGACACCCTCAGCAAGCTCAAAGAATTTCGTGGGAGGGTTTAAGTTGGCATATCACCTGATGACGGAAGACTTGTCCAACCATGCCAAGATTTTGTGACGCTGGCGACAATTGCATGTACGTACCCACCAGGGAAGCATGGTGGCATCCACTTGCAGCCTTGCGCAACTGCAGTCGAACCTGGAGCAAAGCCCCATGACTCCCAGACCCCAACTCGATGGGAAGCCTCGAGGCTTGGCCGGGCGAAAAGGCCCAGCCAATGGAGCGAAAAGGGGCAGGAAAGCAAGGACAAAAACAAAAAAGCCGGCAGGTTCCAAAGCAGCGCTTTCACATGCCGTTTACGGACCAAATCCTCTCTTGTCCCGAGAGAGGAAAATCGCGGCACTTCCTCGCGCGAAAAGAGTCTCTGCGCGGGGGGGCCCTTGGCACTTCAGAGTTTCGAGGTTGGGTTTCAGGCCTTAGGACCGGCTTTGATCTTTTCTAGCGCACACGGATCCAGAGTTTGCAGCCTTTCAGGTTTGTTGGTGTTGGCTTTGCAGTTGTTTACCCTCCCTTGGCACTCGTGGCAGAATCTAGCACCTTGAGAGAGTCTCAGAAGCCAAGACGGAAGGCTCTAAACCAGCCTACGATGGGGAGCCGCGTCAGAAATGACGACGGCAACAGCAAACAAATCAGCGCATCGGCAAGCCCCAATTGCGAGCACAGAGCCCCCACGCAAAGAAGTCTTTCTTTCTCTTTTGTCCTAACAACGATCGCCTCGTGAAGCAGGTTCGCCACCAGGTCTAGTTGCTTTTCTGAGAGCTGTCCAACATGGAAGCTGCTGCACTACACCACCTAGATACCCACCACCAGTTGTGCAATGGATCCCCTCGAGGAGCCCGCTTCTCCCGGAAAAATCCGCATGTGCCACACCCAAAATTCCTCACACGACCCAAAATCGCCCAGAAACCCCCCACGCCTTCTTTCCAGCCGCCTGTCCAGCTCTGGCTCCCATGGGCAGGTCGCCCGCAACCTGCAGGGGAGAGCTGGGAAGCTGGGAATGGAGGCCTCTAGGGCGAAACCCAAAATGACAAGCCAACCCCACAAAACCAAGCCACAGAGTAGAACCCTTGACGAAATGGGCCAACTGCAATCGTTTTGGAGTCGGAGAGTGAGCTCTGCACCGCCAGAATGGGTGTCGGCTTCCAAAATCCGCGAAAAAGACAAAGCTCGCCGCAAAAACTCTTCTTGCTGGTTCGATGGGTGGGGAATGAAAATAGAATGAGCAGGGAATCAGAATAAAATGACCCCGGGATAAACCATCCATCCTATGGCTTCCTTTCTTCGGGAATTCCCAAAACCGGTTCAGCCAACTCAGCACCCGGACTCGGAAATGCATCGCCTGGTCCCGGTTGAGAGCGTGTTTTTGGGGGGGGTCTCCTCGAACGAAATGTACGACCGTCACGGTCCCAGCAGCCTCCCCTTCGTCACTGGGCGGGGGCGGCCTGGCGGTAGGGTTGGTTGGAAACTCGGCCTGGCTGGCTGGCTGGCTGGCTGGCTGGCTGGCTGGCTGGCTGGCTGGCTGGCTGGCTGGGTGGGTGGGTGGGTGGGTGGGTGGGCGCACAAACTCAAAATGGTTGGTGGCCATGTGGTTGATCCGCAAAACGGCACCCTCAAAGAAAGACACACCGAAGGTGCTTCCGACAACTGGGGCACCCTAAAGGCGCTTGGATTTGTTTCCTTTCATTGCCGACCGGGTTCCTTTAATTGCCGCCCAAAAGAGTGTTTGAGACACCCCATATGAGCCATAGGCAGTTTAAGCAAAAAGGTGAAGTATGGTCTTGGCTTCCTCAAACGAAATCCTTGCCCTCCCACCAATTAACATGGAACCTGACCGGGGTTCCCTTTCAAAAGAGCATGGACCCCCCGAACGTCAGGTTCTATTTTCCTTAAGAAGTCAAATTCCCTTAAGAAATCCCCATCCCTCAATACTTCTCCAAACTCCCTTAAGAAATCCAAATCGCCATGCATACCGCAAACCAAAACAAAAAACACCAAAACCACAATTACGGCGAATCCGTCAACGAGACTCTCTCTCACCCAACAACTCGCCGGCTGCGCAGGCGCGGCCTCGGATGCTTCACTGGCCGAGGGGGTGGAAAACCCAGGGGTCGTCTCTATGCCGAGGTCAAAAATCGGGCAGCGGGACTAAAACCTGCGGTCCAGAGATCCTGGTTGAAAACTTTGACCCATAGCCAAATGGAAGCCGTTAAAAAAAAAAAAAAAAAAAAAAAAATGGGTCCCAGCGGTGTCCCATACTCTCTCCCTCCCTCCAGAACAGCACTTGAGAGCTGTGTGAGTGCTAGTGACAACGGCCCACCATTGCACCCCCCCCAGTGACTACGATCATGCACACTGCTCGTGAAACAAGGCACTCAATCTCACTGCTCGTGAAACAAGGCACTCGCTCTCAAAGGGTAAAACTCAAAGCAAAGACCGGCCCTCAGAGCAAAGACCAAAGCAAAGAATCCGATCTGGCCGCGGATGTCAACACTAGGGCAACCCCAAAAGGCATCCCCGCCCCGCCGATGCCTGGGGGCCTTGCGGATTCATGCAGGCAAAGAGCCGGAAGTCTGCATGCGGCCTGCAGCGACAACGTGACTCTCCAGTGATCCAGTTTGAGATTTCTGTAGCCCCAAAAGAAACATCAAGTGTCACTTCAAAGGAACCAAGCGTCAAATCAAATCCGTTCTTGTACATGTGTTGAGCAACGACTGACAGCCACGGCAAAAGCGAGGCGCCGCATCTTAGATCGTACCGCGTCAGCTACAGGGTCTTGGCCAACCCTTGTTCCAGAAGCGTTCCAAACAACTTCCGGGGGTCTGAATGAACTTTGCCCGCTGACACCTTGGAGTGTCTTGGAAGACCTTCTTGCGAGCCCTGGTGCCAATTCGAGAATTGGCAGCTCATCCCAAAGCCGACCTGTGCTACCGACATAGTTCAGATAGTTCTGATGTTGCATGCGACCTCTTTAAGATTCATTTCACCGGCAAATAAATTCTGCCAAGACGGTGTTGATCTTCGAAACACGAAAGCCACCGGCTCGCACAATCGCAACCCCAGCAAAACCCAACCCAAAAAGCAAGATCCCAACCCCAACCCCGACAGAACCAAAACCCAACAAGAACATTTCAACCCCAACCCGAAGAGAACCAAAACCCCAAACAAAACAATAACAAAGAAAAAAAAAGAACCCAAAACCCAAAACCAAAATCCCCCCCCCCCCCAAAAAAAAAAAAAAAAGCCCAAGCCCCCCCCCCAGCCCAGAACCCGAGGAAAACCCGAAAAACCCCCGGTGCTTCGGGCTTCCGGACACCACATGCTCATCCCCCGACTCCGGCAGGGCAAGGTGCGTCCCCGACCTCACGGCGGTCGCGGCGCTTCCAAAGCCCGGGGCTCAACCGTCGGAGACGGAATGCTTCGATGTAAAAACCTACATGCATACACAGAAACATATCTATCTATATATATATATATATATATATATGTACATATGTATATGTACATGTACATGTACATATAGGTATACATATACATGTACACATATTCATATACACATACATATGAATGTGTACCAGTATGTGTGATATGTATGGTATGGTATGGTATGGCATGGTATGGTATGGCATGGTATGGTATGGTATGGTACGGTATGGTATGGTACGGTATGGTATGGCAGGGTAGGGTAGGGTACGGTACGGAACAGTATGGTATGTATGTATGTGTACGTATATGTGTATATGTGTATATGTATGTATGTATGTGTGTGTGTGTATGCGTATGCGATGCACATGTATGTATATCTGTCAGAAACCGTCAGGGCAAAACCCGCGCTTTGCACACTCCGCAAGCTGTTATCTGCTGGGTTTGCCCCAGTGATCGCCCAGCACATGGTCAGCACCCCCGCCCAAGTGATCCGTCCAGCATAGCATCTGAAGGCGGCGCGAGAGGGAAAAAAGATATGTTGAGAGTTTCCGGCAGTAATGCTTTGACATTCTCCATAGACCTCTGGCACCCGTTCTGCCTTGCGTTTTCACGCGTGTTCAACTGCCAAAATTTCAAAAGGGCGGCCTGCGCACGGTCGACCACCATTCATTGCATTGGCAGGCGTGGGGAATGGTGCACTTTGGTTTTCCATTGTTTGTGCTCACCTTTGACACCTTTCTTGAATGCTGGGAATTCCCGAGGATTTTGGACGCAGCCATCTTCAGTGATCTCCAAAAGAACGTGGTTCTGCAGACCCGAAACGTTGCGTTTTTGGGGGGGTTCTAATTCCGTACAAAAACGAACGACTGAAAACGACCCGGTGGGATGTATATGTATGTATGTATACATACATATATATATATATATGTACAGGTATAGGTATATGTACATGTATGCGTGTTTGTACGTACGGTACCAACATAGGTGGCAACTAGTGCAGGATTTTGTGCATCCACAGTCTATGGATATCCGCCGTTCCCCTTTGCCAAAACCATGCCATCCTCCCTTGGCAACGGGGCGAGGCGTGTTCTTAGCAGTTGGACAAGGGGAGTCCGAGGCGGTTGGGAAGGCGTCCGGCAAATGTTTGACACGACCAACCTCTAACTCTCACCTCTTTGCGCAAATTGCTACAATTGGCAAACTGGAAAAAAGGGACCCTAGGCCCTATGCGGCCTTCATCATGGCTGAGCCGGCTTTGCCCCAAGGTGAGCTCGTTATACCTTGCCTAAATAAATAATCTCCAATAAACTCTTGTCAACCAGGCTATCCTCACTCGGGGTCTTCTGGTTGGCCTCTTGCGCAATGTGCATTTGTGGTTCTCCCCAAAATCCCCAAAGCTCACAATCCCAAACCCCCACCCTCCCAAGCCCCCTCACCAACCAAAAACCCCCACAAACCTCCCAACACCTCATCCTCTCTCAAAACCCCGCAACCCCCGTTGCGCCCAGTTCCCCAGCCACTCCAACCGCAGGCCGCCGGTGTCTGGCCCCGCGCACCGAGGCCGGCACGAGCGCTCGATCAAGCCCTGGATCCGCTGAAGCAGGTCCGAGGGCGCGAGATTGATCTCGTCCAGGACCTTACCGCCGGCACGGCAAGCGCTGCTTGCCGCGCGTCGATGGTTTCACCAAAAAGATCCAGGAGACGAGATTGTACAAATCCACAAGCAAATGATTTTTTGAAGTATTTTGAGCCATTTGTTTGATACAAAAGCAAATGACCGGCAAATCTAAATTAATGTTGTACAAGTCAGAGAAACATCTGAAGCAAAATTGATGCTGAACATGCAAGCCAGCAAATCTAAGTTCATCTTGTACAAGTAAGAGAACCATCTGAAGTGAAAAGGCATTCTTTGAGATGAGCATCCTTCGAAAGAGCCGGTACTAGCGCGCTCCGAAGAAACGATGGGATCTTTCAAAGAACAGTCTCTCAGAATCTCTGCCATCGGCAGCATGCAATGAACTACCGCTTGATGGAACCACAGTCCTCATTGCTTTGCAAGGCGGCAATCACACATCAATGTGTTGAACAACCGGCTGTCTGAGTTCCTTTGGTTTCAAAGGAGGAACAGTATTCCTCTTTTTCCTAGGTGTCCTTTACTTTTCTAAATGCATTGCCTTAAAGGCACCATCCAAACAAAGCGATCCCCCGAACCTTGGGCTACCAACAAATGCGACCACTCAAGTGACTTTCCGGACAAAAATAAACTCTCTGAACATGGGCCCAATGGTGGTTAATTCAAGCCATCCAATCAGGAGAAAAATATGCAGGTCTATCCTGCATTATCTCAACATTGAAAGTCACGTGGTCACTCACTCACTGACTCACTCACTCCCTCCCTCACTCCCTCCCTCGCTCGCTCGCTCGCTCACTCCCTCCCTCACTCACTCACTCACTCCCTCCCTCACTCACTCACTCACTCACTCACACTCCCCCTTCCCCCACCCCCCCGGCCCAAACACAAAAGCAGTAAGGGAACAACCAACCACTTTCTGACTTTAACAACCGCTATCCTTTGCCAACAATCATGGAAGCTGAACAGATATGAAAGACTCGGTCCTTTTCAAAATTGCGATAAACAGAGCTTGCCAATAACAACAGTCAACATAATGGATCTTGAAAGTGGATTCTTGAGAGAGGATGAACCAAACCACAAAGGCTCACAGAGCTGTTTGAGGTTGCTGCCACCCACGCGCCAGAGCGCAGCGCCTTGACAGCGAAAGCAAGAAGGAGCGACCAAAAATCCAAGATCTTGGTGCTTGAGCCCAAAATTCAAGCAACACCTTGGTGTTTGCTGCATGTTTAGGGCAAAAACCCTGGTATTTGGTATTTGGCTTGCTCCCTGTCAAGCTTCCTGCTGGCTTCTATTACTCCTGGCTTACGGCCGGATCCCCCGAGTCTCATTGATACGATGATCAACGAACAAAATGGGTCGCGGATGTCTTTGGCACAAATGGGCAGCGGGTGTAAAACCTACGCAGCCTTGCCTCGTAGTTTGATTGCAAGCAGCAAACATTTGTTGAGTCGTGGTGGTCGGCGTCAAAACTACCTGGTTGTCCGCGCAAACTAGTAACTTCCTTGCTTCAGGTGCACAGTCACATCCGAGTCCAGAAAATGCAATAAGCTCAGGTGATATCCCCAACAGCACGCGGTGCTCTTTTTAGTGCTCGCACCACCCGCAGCCCTCGCAAAACCTCGTGGAACCCTGGTGGAACCCTCGTGGAACCCTCGTGGAACCTTACCTCAGGGCCGCCCCGGACCACCCGGGAGCCTATCTGGGCTGAGACCCCAAACCTGTCAGCACAGACAAAGGAAACCAAAAGGCTATCCGCAATTTGCAGGTGTTCCTATTTTTGGCAGGTTCCTTCTTACCTGCTCGTGGTCCATTTGGAGAGTCCCCCCCCCTTGCAGAAAAACACATTGGGCAGCCCCTCGCCAAATGAACCTTGGCTACCTCCCTCCCTCCCTCACCCCCTCACCCCCTTGGCATGGCCGCCTGAACGAGCAAGCCCTCCTTGAACTCAAACTTTGGAGCCGATCCGGCCGCCACCACCTCCAACGAAAGCCGAGCCCTCACAGTGAATCCACCACAAACCCCCCTGTTTCAGAGCTAGTGACCAGACAGCTATCCACAAACCTTGGTTGACGTTGGAAGGGGAGCAAAAAATTAAATTTTAGCAGTGAAGTGGGGTTTCCCACTAAACCACAATAAGCAAAAATGTAAAATGTTCCCAAGAACAAACATGAAACAGGTGTTCACCAGTTCACCAGTTCCCTTTTTGTCGGGATTTGGGCTTGACTGCTGGCAACTCAGCCCCGGGCCGAAGTGGCTTTGGCACGGAGAGAGCATACTCGTTCCCATCTTGGTCCGTGCACGCGCTCAAAGATGCTCATGTCGCGATTGGTCGGCACATTGCGACGTTGCATATTGCATGATCTGAACCTTGATCCTCCAGCAAAATCAAGAAGGGCCCTGTTTGTGCGGCCCTTGGAAGACCAGGTTAACAATGTTCGCTATCAGATTTCCTGCCTCATTGATGGCCATACAAGCCTCCCATGCAAGTGACCATGGGAAAAAGAAATCTAGGTGACCCACGCTAACTGCATAAATCAGAAGAACCCGCATCATAGCCCCCTCCGCCTTCCCAACAAAAAAGGAAAGCAAACGGCACGCTCCATATTATATATATATATGCATATATCATACAAACATACAACATACATATAAATACTATATATGTGCATATATATATATATACAATATATATATATATACAATATATATATATATATATACAATATGTATATATATACAATATATATATATACAATATATATATATATATATATACAATATATATATATATATATTATATATATATATATGTATATTGTATATATATATATACAATATATACATATATATATAATATATGTACAATTTTATATATATATATATATTGTATATATATATACAATATATATATATATATACAATTTATATATATATATAGTATATGTATAGTGACGTATATGTATATATGCAAGTTCATATGTCCCGTCGCCAGCGGCCAGGCGGCCAGGTCCCCCGGCTCTGTTGCCAAATGGATGCTTTTCACCCCCTTGGAGGCCTGCGTCACCTCGCGCGTGTCTGACTGCGGCGCGGGCGCGGAAGGGCTCCGCCGTCGGAATGTTTGCTTCGGAATTGGAGATGTTGGAAGAATATGTTTTCTAAGAAATCTGCTTGCTGAAATGAATGTGTTCTTGCAAAAGCTTGGTGAGATAGGCCGGGAATGAGAAAGGGAATGAGAAATGGAATGACCCCGAGTAAAACCATCCAACTGGTTTTTTTGGGAGGGGGACCAAAGCCTGGGTTCGTTCCCTCATTCCCTACCTATCGCACCAGCAAGGAAATTGGGGGGGGGGGGGGCTGGATGTTTTTTCGTTCATCACCCAAAAGGCAACTGTTGCTCCAAAAGCTCAAGGTCGCCCATTTCAAGCTTGCCCTGGCTGGGGTGGTTGATGCTCCATCCCATGCCTTCTTTCGAAGGTATCCGGAAGCCCAGAACCTCAAGAACGGTGCCCTCCCGCAGTGGTCTCCAGAACCTCCCCTCCCCTCTCCAGAACCTCCCCCCCCCCTCCCCTAACGCGTCTGCACCAAGCTTCTGGCAGGATCACTGAGATTGCCTTGTGCCTCGCAGCGCCGTGCTTTTTCGCATTGGCGCTTGCCAGAGACCAAAGGGTCGATGACTTGCCCTCCCCCTCAGAACCCAAGAAAAGAGGCGCTCGCCAGAAGACGCGACACGGCATGCACAAACAGCAAGGGCTGTAAGACTGGAAGACCGGAAGCCTTCCTGCCTTGCTGATGATGCTGCCAATCCCGTGCAGCACGGCAGCCTCACACGGCATCGCGCCCCAGCCCCTGGAGCAGATCTGCCCCGAGATCTCGCTTCGGGAACTTGCCAAATGCGAGGGCACACATCAGCACGACTTGGGAAGGGGCAGAAGAGCTGGGCCGAACTATTTCCAACCTGGACACAACCAAAGTCATGAATCCTTGGTGGGACGTGCTGCTCAAGCAAAAGAAGAGCCCTCAACATCTTGATTTCGTTGGGCTTCAAAATCAGGAAAGAAGACTGTGCAGTTGCTGCGTTGCCCCTCTGTTTGTACACCCTTTCAAAGAGCGGTGTTGCCAAATGGGATCGGTGTCGATGATGGTGATGCTAGTGATGCAAGTGATGGTGGTGATGCAGGTGATGTGGGTGATGCAGGTGATGCTGGCGATGTTGGTGATGCTGGTGATGTTGGTAATGTGGGTGATGGTGTTGTGCGGGTGATGCAAATGATGCGGGTGATGCGGGTGATGCGGGTGATGCGGGTGATGCGGGTGATGCGGGTGATGCGGGTGATGCGAGTGATGTGGGTGGGGTGATGCGGGTAATGCGGGTGATGCGGGTGTTGCCTTCTCGGCTTTTTTGCTGCCACCAAGCACAGATTCTTGCCGGCACCGGTGACCTCACCTCACCTAGCAGAGAGGCCAAGGTGCCTTGTCAACACCACCACGAACCGCAAGAGCAAGGCCATTCTGGCCAACGCTGGACCCGCAACCACGGCTTCTCGGGCTAAGCGCCCCACCCATCGCCGTGTCAGAAAGTCCCCCCGGATCTTCTCCAGAACGTTGGCCTGTGTCCCCCCTCTGATTAATGTCCCCGTCAAGGGCACGCCGCATCCCTTCAAAAGGGGCTTCCTACCCGCTCCTTCTTTGGCACCCAAACTGAAGCTGAAGGGGAGGCCCCTAAAAACAGACACACCCAAACTATGGCATGTCCCACACAAAGTTGAAGGGTGTCAATCAACCACCAATCTGAGAGGAAAAAAAAAGAAAAGAAAAAACAACTTTCAATTTCAGGGAAGAGCTCACATGGGCTCTAAGGGAAACCCGTTTTGCTTGCTTTTAAGGGAAGCCAAATAAAAATTGGTTTCGAATATGACAAAAATAAAGGGACACCAACAGAGAAAAAAAATGTGTTTAAAGAAAAAACAAAAAAATGGATTTAAATGGAAGCCAAAGAAAAAGCACCATTTTGGGCAAGGGGGAGGGGGCACCCCAAAAAAAACACACCCACATAGAGTTACAAGAAATCCAAAGAAACCGGTGTTTGTTTCAAAGGGTTCTTGCATGGGCACATGTGAGTGTAGCGCTCGCATTGAACGAGGGATTCGCAAAGAAACGATCCACTCACAAAAATGTGTGAACAACAGGGGTGCTTCAAATTGCCTTGTGACTGGGGTAGACATTTGGCCCTCAGCAAAACGTTTGGAGCATAGGGGCTTGGAGCAACCCTGACCAACTTGGGCCATGCGGATGCGGATCTCGTCTTGCTGGGTGCAGGGCATTCTTGCGCCTTGAGAAGGACTTCTCGAAGGTGGTGCAAAATGTCTCCACCTTGCATCCGTGAACGTCAAGACTTGCCAAATTTTGGACACAGAAACCTCGATCTGTCTGTTTTTCAGACCCCCCAAAATGGCATGCAACGGTGTTCCTTTTCCCTTTTAAACCCACCACAATGCCCAGCTTGGTTCCATGAGGGGCAGACCCAAGCCCTTGTGCATTGATCCGAGGCAAAGGCGAGCTCCGACATCAGCTGCATCACGTTGTCCTACATGGGCACATCCTTTGTTTTCTTCTTCGTCTGCTTCTTCTTCTTCTTCTTCTTCTTCTTCTTCTCCTCCTCCTCCTCCTCCTCCTCCTTCTCCTTCTTCTTATTATTCTTCTTCTGCTTCTTCTTCTTCTCCTTTGTCTGTTCCTTTTCTTTCTTTTTCTTTCCCTTTTTTGGGGGGGAGGGCATCCGAAGGCTTCAGATTGAAACCAAGGAACACCTTGGTGGATTCTTTGGAAAAACATCAAACAACCGGAGCCTCGATTGGGGAGCAACAGTCACACACCATCTGGCGTGGTCAGCACAAAGGGCAAAGACAAAGGATCTAGACCATCAAAGTGGGCTTGTTGATTCCCTTTTAAACAACCTGCAAAACGGGCACCATTGAAAAAGACACACTCAAGTAGGTTGAAGGGAAACCATCCATTGGAAAGATCAGGGAGAGGACCGGGGACTGCCCCCACAAATTGTTTGTTACGCGGGTACTGGTTTCCCAAAACGGACGACCAAAATTGGGCCATGAACGCCAGGCCGGTTTGACCCAAAAAAGCCACGATCCGTCTCAGGACGGGTTGACACGTTACAAGTCCGCCTGAGCCGCCGGCCACGGGGCGAAATCCCCCGATGAGTTCCGTGCTCTCGCTCTGCTCGTTGAAGTTGTACACCAGAACCTCTCGGCTTTGACTGCCTCAACAAACTTCCAGGCAAGGTAACTTGCACGTTGGGTTTGGGGAGCAAACCTTCTGTCAAATCTTAGCAGTTCAGTGGATTTGGATTTCAACCACTAAACCACAATAAGCAACAAGGTAAAATGTTTGACAACTATGGCAACCCCTAATCGGCGGTTTGTTTGCGGATTTGAACCTCCGGTTCTTGTGGGGTAGATGGGAAACCTCTCCTTTGCCACCAAACCGCCAAACCACCAAACCACCAAGCCACCAAACCACCAAACCTATCAGAGAGAAGCTGAACCTGGGCCCAATCGCTCTGAAAAGCCACGGGGAATCCGAACACATCGTACAATGTGAAGGCGCCAAGTCACACCTTTGGCATCCTGCGCTCAACACTTGGGATTGGTTCAGACAACTGACAAATAACTAGTCACCAAAGTCATTTTTAGGCCCAACAAGGGTTGAAATGGGGCGATCGCTAATCTGTCCGTAGAACACAATTACAAGGAACAGAAATACCATAAGGCATAATGACTCCAAAAGTGGTCTGACTCCCCACATTTCACCCAGAATCCGACACCCCCCCATGAATCAACTGGGGTTGATTAATATGGGGTCAACGTTGGCTGGGTTGCTCAAAAGTCAATCCTCAATCCTCAATGGGAACTCCGGACTAATCAACCCCAGTTTAATAATTGGGGGATGTCTCTGGGGTTGGTGAGGAGTCCTCACCTTTGGAGGGGACCACCCGCGAATAATAGCACGGGTTTATCCGCTCAGGAGTCAAACCACTTTTGGAGTCACACCACTTTTGGAGGGGCCGAAACCACCCCCCAAAAAAAAAAAAACGTGTGGGGCCTCGCGGCCCAGCAGACGCCCCACGTGCTGCACCACCGAGGTCTTGCCGGTGCCCGTGTCACCTCGTGTTTTTTTTTTCAGACGGCCGAACACCGCGCGATCCCTGAAATGATCCTGGCAATGGTGGTCTTATGTTGACCCGCACATAGAGTCCCCAGGCCTTCGAGGCTTTAGGTCTCACGAACATGACTTGAGGCGAACGGCAGAGGTGTGAAAATGGCGGCTTTAAGGGAAGCCAGCCCAGACAAATCCTCAAAAGGACCCTGAAAACGGTAATTTGAAGGGAAGCCACCCTGAAAATGACTCTGACAATGGTGGCTTTAAGGGAAACCATCACAATTGCTTCTGGGGTGGTTTCAAACCACCCTTTTCAGGGTCATGTTTGAGGATTTGTTTGGGACCAGCTGCGTTTTGTTTTCCCTTGAAACCACTGTTGTCAGGGTCTAATGTGAGGATGGCGGGGCTCAACACGTTCACTTTCAGGGAGCCGAGCCGCGGGAAAGGGGTGTCCCAAAGGTTTTTGGTCTTTGCATGAGAGCGGCTTCTTAGCCTGAAAGCTGGCCATACGTGCTGGGGTATTCGCTGGTCTGCCAGGACAACTCCTGAGTCTCGATCAAAACCCGGTATTGAACTGGTTGACCCAGAACCATGTAAGGAACTACCAAGGTGGCCGCAACTATTTCTGGCTGGGATTGTCCCGTACTAACCTTCATCTACCCTGGTTTTGATTGGTCACGAGACGCCAAAAACACGTGCAGAACCCCAAGTCACTCCAGGTGCGAATGGAAATTTTGGGTCCGGAGCTAAAAGTGTTAGGAATGCAGTTGCTCGCCAAGTTCCCACCTCATTGCGTCCATGAAAGTGAGGGGTTCGAGAAAGCATTTCTTTTGGGTGATGTTTCCTCTTAAACGACCACTTAGAGGGTAGTCTTGGATGTCACTTTCATGGACCTTGCACAGGGAATGTTGACTCCCACAAGGTTGTTCAACTCATGCCTTTGGTTAACACCACCAAAATGGTTAAGTTATCACGGTTCATCGAGGCCTGTATCCGGGGGGTTGCTTGAAAATATGGCGGGCCTCTGCAATGCACCCTTCTGACGCAAGGCGCGCCGCCGAAAAATTGACAGCCCACCATCCGGTTTTCACCGAAAGTCAAAAGCTGCCGATGCTGGTGACCCGAAGGCTTTCTCTTTGCATCGGTCCAAAAGGGCATCCCTTTGCATCACCCCGAAGCCAAGCGGCTTGATCTGATTAAAGGTCCTTTTCTATTACTCATCCCCCGTCTTTAAAATGAAAGTTCCTTTTTTGATACATCCAAACGCATTTCGAACAAAAGACGCACAACCCAAAGGCATTTCGAAAAGAAACAAAACAGAAAACAGCTGTATCCCTTCAAGTACAGCCTTCGGCGGCGCTAAAACATTCTTAGCCTCCATATCACCTCAGCTTTGTCCCCCTCCTCCTCCTCCTCCTCCTCCTCCTCCCCAAAAGGAAAAACACACACACACACACACATGCTCTGTGTCTAGCTTCGCAATTGAATCTTGATTGGCATGCTGTCATGGGCGTAGATCACCAAACCGACTCCAATCACTTGCAACATTTAATTACTTGGCCATGGGTCAAAATCCCGTACCCCCAGTGAACCTCCCAATCCCCACTAAAAAAGAGGCTCTAAAATGGGCGGTGAATTCACCTACCAACCAAAATGGCACCACAAAACGGTTTTGACCACCACGGCCATTCGCCCTTTCGCCCCCCCTCCGTCCCTCCGTCCCCCCGTCCCCCCGTCCCCCAGGAGCCTACCAACAGCGCAGGCTCCTCGCTGCGAATGGCCGAAGCCAAGGCCTGCGGAAGGCGCGGGAAGCCAAACCACTTCCTGAGCAGGGGCTTCCGGACGGAACCCCATGTCTTCACAAGGGTCTAGATAGTGGGGGAAGCGGAAAACCCGAAAAAAAAAATCAACCGGGGGAAGCGGAAAACCCGAAAATTTATTTTTCAACCGGGGGGGAAGCGGAAAACCCGAAGACTTCTTCAAACGGAAGCGGGAAAACCCGAAAACTTCTTCAAACGGAAGTGGGAAAACCCGAACACTTCTTCAAACGGGTCAGAGATCGTATTTCGGAGGGTCGTCTTGGGTTTCCGCAGTTGGAGCCTTGGGCCGCAAGTTTTCCCTGGCCTGCAAGACCCGCGCGTGCACGGAGGTGTAGGCGAAGGGCTCACCGGCCTCGAGAAAGTCCAAGCGGTCTTGGTTGACGTTGGAACGGGAGCAAGAATTCTCGAGTTGTTGCAGTTCAGTGGATTTCGATTTCAACCACTAAACCACAATAAGCAAACATGTTTAATACGTGTCCTAACAACAACCATGGCTTCCACAACCATTTGACTACCCATTTTTTTCATGGAACCCCGGGTAGCTACAAGGGGGGTAGTTCAGAGGCCTGGGGTTCGTTAGGGTTCCCGTCGAAATGAGAGCTGCCGATATTTTTTCCCGAATCCACTTTGGGTCTGTCTCCAAAATGCGAACTGCATGGGTTGTTTTCTATCTGGTTCCTTTGAAACCCACCAAAAGGGGGTTCACCCCAGGGAAAAACACACCCGGGAGACAAGACGGACTTCTGTCATGAGGATGCAAAGGGCCTCCCCTGCTCTGAATCTGTATGACCCAAAAAAGCGACCTTTGGTTGAGGAAGCAAAGTCACGCCAAGCTTGCTTGGGTATCGCGCGGTAAACACATGGGAACGTGTGAAGGCCAGCAATGAGCCCCAGGTCTGAAGGTTGGCTATCCCGCCTTCTCACGGCCTTTCGCCAACGGAAGGAGGATGTCCCCGATTTGCACCTGTCAGACACGAAAAACCAGAATCAGCACGCTGTCATGTCCCCGAAAGCCCTTCAGCTTGTTGTCGCTCTGAAAGGCGTTGCCACATGAGAAGTTCCTGATTCTTCATCGGGGGTTCTCTGAACGACTGGACCATAAATGAGCAACCGCGCTGAAAACGAGAGAAAGGTCGAACCATAGGGCAGTCCAGTGCTTTGGTGTTCTAGGTAAGCTATTACCTTCGCACTCTCTTTCTCTAACCCGCCTAGCTGCCCATGTTTTACCCTGGCAATTGTTTTTGTTTTTTTGAAATGGGCCGAACCCTCGAGATTGAATCAGACATAGCTACTGCTACCCTGTCCATGGTACGCTTGCGTCACCAAAAGTTCACGATGTCTTTGGCCAGTGCAAGGGCCGGTGGCTTCCTTGTGGACTGCTTGCGCCATGCCTGCTTCACGTCTGGCAAAAGGCTCACCGTTGGCCTCTCCTGACATCGGATGATTCTGAACTGACACGGATCTGGGCAAACTAGGTTGATTCACTTCCATGTGCGTTTTTGCCCCCTGGAAAAAAATGATAAAATATTACCAGAAGTGATAGATTCCCTTTAAAACCAACAAGGGGGAAAAAAAGGGGGGGGGGGGGAAAAACACCGTCATTTCAGCAAATGGTTGATTCACAAGCGGACACAAGGCATCCCCAAGTTCAGTATCTTCAGGGGTGGGCAGGTCTAATTACCCACAGTGGTTTAGGGGACTCCAATGGCAACCATCCCAATTTGGGGGTTCCAACGAAAAGGAGAAAATGAATGCATCCAACTTCCATGGGGAGGCTGGGCAATGTAGCGACCTCTGCCGGATCTGGGCAAATCATCTGTTTTCAGAAGGGAACTTGATTGAACAAGCACCCACGATTGCCCCACATTCCAGATCTGTGGCCTGAAGGCTGATCACTCCCAAGGAGAGTAACCCCAAATCTCAAGCCCCGAATCTCAAGCCCTGAACTCTCACAATCAACCCTCTTGATATGTGTTACCGCAAGAACGCACCGCATGATTTTCATTCCTCGAGCATATATCACACTTACATGCCAGTCGGTGGCCCAAAGAATGGCGTCACGTCTTCGCTCCAAAGAGGTCGCTGAGAGGCAACCAATGCGGCTCAGCCATCCATAGGTCCTCGTAAAAGAGCCCCAAAAAAGGGATAAACTGCCAACTGCAAGCCCACCATAGGTCACCAATCCATAGGTCCTTGCCTTCTGGGAGCCCAAAGGAAAGGATAAAAACATAGCGCCTCACGCATTGCAACCCCAAGAGCAACCCAGTGAACATCCGATTCAATCCCCAAATAGGTCCTAAAGTGGGTGGTGAATCCACCTACCAAAATGGGATCAACCAAAACGGTTTCGACCACCGCCAAATGCCACCCCACCCTCCCCGCTACTTCAACACCGGCCGAAGGGCCCGAAGGGCCGAAGGGGCGAAGGGCCGAAGCTGTCGCCTGCAAGAGCGCATCGGCGACGCCGGAGTCCAAGGACCACAAAGGCGCCAGGCCTGCGCCCGCGTCAAGTGGTGGCCAACCTTTGGTGCAAACATGGGTTTAAAGCACCCGTTGCTCGCAAAAGAAAATAAAGGAAAAAAGCCTCCCTTCCAAGGTTACAATGTGTTTTTCTACTGAACATGATTTGTTTGTTGGTCTCATCAGCCCTCTAACTGACTGCCATCTACTTTCACCCTCTAAGCCACGTTGGACATTCTCTAGATTTATAATATGCACCTGCTTTGACATGGAACTCCATGTCTGCGTCAACATCGCCCTTTGTGTTTCCCTTGAATGCGCCTGTTTTCATGTGTCAAGCCCGAAAGGGAGGGGGAAAAAAAATTCAACTGCTCCGGATCTTTACAACTCAGGGGTGGTTCCTTCGGTCAGGGCTCCATTCACTTGAGAGGCTCCTGGGCTCGGCCCGAGGCAGGCACTCGCCAAAAACGAGCGCCGCAGCCGCACGTCGGCCACGCGGCCCAGCAGGACCTCAAACGACAAGGAGCTGGAGTTGAAAGAAGGACAAGGCAGGTGGGGGAAATGGCTGTGGCTCAAAAAACCGGTACCAGAATGGAACCCTGGTAAGTGGAAACATGGACCAAAACCTGCGTAACCCCTCCTGTTTAATTTTGAGCCACACCCAAATGACCTCTGCTCATAGGCGTCCTTTTCTCGGGGAAATCGATGGGTTTCCCTGAGCTCACCTGCCGTCGCAAGCACGGCGCCCTGGGTTTGAACGGCCGGGGGTAGATGAGAAAAATCCAGCGGGTATACGAGGAATCGCCCGAAATATGTTTCGAGCAAAACTAACCAAAAAGGACACCTATGCCTCTGCTGGGAATGAACCGGTTTTGAACATTCCCTTGAAGAAAACCACAAGGGAGTTGTTATAGGGGTCATTCCCTCAGTCCCTGCTGAGCACCACCAAGAATAGCTGAGAAATAGAATCATACAAACAAAGAAAAGACAACTATATTCAAATCAGTTGAGAACGAACTGAGCTGCGCTGTCTTTACGGAATGCATGTGCTGTGCGAGAAAACATGAAAACGCAGAAACTGGGGGACTCCGCGTGAATTCGGCTTTTCATTGGAGAATGTTGGGAACGGGTACGGAGCACGGCCATGCCAATGCACTGCTTCACCATGACGCTCGCGCTCAGCGGACTTTCGGTCGGGCCAATGATCGAAAACTGTGTTCCAAGGTTTCTCGGCCGGCCAAAAAACTGGTGAGCTAACAGAGTAGCCGCTGTCCAGCTTCTGCTAGCTCGTTGTCTCTGGCTGTCTGGCTAGCTGACTGGCTCACTTCCCAACCAAGTCCATCAGTCACACCTCTCCTCTCCTCAACTCAGCTCCGCTCCCCCTCCTCCCCACTCACCCACCCACTCACCCACTCACCTCCCCCCCACCCACTCACTCACTCGCTCATTCACTCGCAACGAACCAACTCATTTTCCTGCCTGCAGCGCCTCCCGCAGCAGCACGGACCTGCTCTCCTCCGTGAAGATCGGGCCTCGGTCGAAGCCGAAGGCCAAAGTGGATTGCGGGAAAAGCCACGGGCACCGGCACCATCTGTCTGAGTCAAGGATCAATAGACTGAGGCTGCACCCGCAAGCGTCTGAAGCATGTTTCAACAGTTGGGTTTCTCAAAAGCAGGCTTGGGGTCTGCTTGTTTAAACAAAGCTTGCACCCTGCTCTCCCTAGCATTGGTTCGGCCCAATTTACTGGCACTCTACAACTTTGGGAGAAGTCTTTTCCGCGGTTTGGATGCCGAATCCTTTTGACACGCCTGACATTGTTCGGTGAGTGCCCCCCCCCCCTCCCCCCCCCATCCATCCATCTGCATTGTGGTAATGCGGTGACAGAGGATGACGGTGAGTGAATGGCGAACATTGCTCTTCTCATACATGAGTCGAGTCTTTGGTTCCGCTGGGCAACGCAACTGCACTCTGAACCCGCCAACCATGTCTGCAACCCATCTTCCCTCAAGAAATCAAGTCATGTCCTTCACAGAAACCAGTCATCACAACAGTCAGAAAGATGTTCCAGAAGGGTTGAACAAAAGGTAGGGTTTTGTTGTGGACCCTGTGACCCTTTGGTCTTGGACCCTGTGACCCTTTCTTTTCAAGATCCCTTCTGAAGGCCTTAAATTAGAGGGGCCTCAGGCAACCGCAACATCCGACTGGCTTTTTGGGATCTGTCCCAAGCTGCGGGTGTTTGTGTTTGCATTCCCCCTTAGGTAAATGGCCCCGAAAGGCGTGCTGTTCTTCGTACCCCCTACCCAAAAAGTAGATATCCTCCTCGTTTAACGGGTTGGTATGCAGAGAACCACAGAAGACGTGCTTTCGCCCTTGGCCCAAATCGATGAGAGAGAGGGAGTCCGCCCGGTGCGTGTTTGCTTGAAAACCCAAATCAAGGCTATCTGGTGTCCTGCCAACGAGTTTTACACATTTCCGGCTTGGCCAGATACAAGTTTGTGGCCACATGAGTCCATATCAAAATCGGGGGGAAGGGCATCCATCCATCCCCTGGTCTCCAGATAAATGTGATTCCCATGGGCATTGTATTTGTTTGCTTTCCGCGCTCAGAGCGTACCTCAACAAGGCAGGTTCCCATCATCCGACGTACAAACCTCGATAAACAGTTGTTCATGTCCATCCTCAGTGGACCAGCATGGCATATCTGTGATTCTACCATGGCGACAAAGGCTCATACGCCTCTAAGGGAGGTGTCGGGTGCTCACATATGTCAGCAATTTGCCAAGGTGCCTTCCTGCCCCCTGGAAATAGCGTCGCTCCAAGGAAACGAGATACTCAAAATGACGACAAGCGATGTTCAGCCCCGAAAGGATGGGCCTCTCGGTGTTTTCGAGGACTGGGCTGCCCTCAGATCCCCCGCTCAAAGCTTAACTCTTGGCGGGTGAAATGGAAACCACCACTAAAAGGCTAGAAGGATCTGAAAAGCTACGGAACCGGATGGCTGGCTTCGCAAACAAGAGGAACGCCCCCCCTCCTACCTTTCGTAAAGGCCAAGAGGCTCAGGACCAGCTTGGCGTTGCGCAAGCGCGCGCACCAGCGCAGGATGTCGCGCCTATGGGACGGCTGGCTGGTTCTTCTCGGTCGCCGCGGTGGATTTGGTCAAGGGAACAAGAGAAGCCCGAAATCATGTACTGGAATATCTACCCAAAAAAAAACATGTGTCATAGACAAACACTTCAAGGGAAGCCCGATTTCATGGACATGTACTAAATAGCTTCCTTTGTTGGCTCAACGGCGATATTTGCGGATGAACACCACATCTTGCTTGTTTCAGGGGGCTGCAACGAGCAGGCGGTATGACAGAATGTGACCAGGGGAATGGTGGGTATCTTTTTTTTCAATTTTTGTATGGCTCACACAAGCCAGCATCTTTGCGCCAATGCACAAGTTGTGTCCAAGGCGTAGATCGATTCCGAAGACGCAGACGCTTGCAGGAAATGGAACCAAAGGCCCCTGTCGCATGGCCCGGAATTCCCTTGCCCAGCCAAGTGCTTCGTGTCCAGAAAGGCCCCTAGAGACACAGCTCACATGCCGGGGTCTCTTGGACCTCAAACCGGCAAGGCGGTGCCGCTGGTTTACTTGGACCCCGAAAAAATCGCGCGGGCCGCGTGGCCTTTGCAACAGACATACCAAGTAAGCGACTAGAGGTGCAAAGACCTGGAAAGGCCTGAAGCCGAGCATACTTGTGAGCGATGCGTGAGCATCTGTAGCAAAAACTATGAGGTTCTCCTCATAGATCAACCCTCTTGGCTGGTTTTGAGGGGAAGTCGGAAGGAGGCCCCACCATTTTGAGGAGGTTACTCACTCGTCACTTTTCATGCGAACCACGCCCAAAGGAGTGAGCCCCTCCACCCGCCCCTTCTCCACCCCCTTCTCCAGGTGTCCAGGCGGAGCAGCCGCTGGGCCTTCCAAGGCTTGCCGCTGCCGCCTTGAGGCGCGGCATCGGGGGCGTGGGGGCGCCGGAAATTTCCTTCGCAAGGCCTGTCTGAGGGTCATTTGGCGGGTCCAACCTATGTACTCAAGGACCAAAACCGGGGGTGAAGGGACACAAGGGCTCAAAAACCTGCGGCCCCTGGGTTGAGAATTTTGACCCAGACCCATTTTCCTTCCCTTCCAAAGACTCGTCTTGGCCTTCTGCCCAAAGACCTGCCCAAAGACCTGCCCAAAGACCAGGTTTTTCTTCAGTGGAAGCCCAAGGAGTTGGAAGTTCGGCTTCAAATCCGAGCCAAACGTGACCTGAACACAGCGGCCGTCGGGGAAATCGCAGTGGCATAAGATTCTGTCGTAGTCCGTCTGTGGTGAGTGGTGCAATTTGTTCTTGTTGTACTGCTTTCTCCGGTTGAACCACAGCAATGGATTTTCCATTGTCTGTAGTCATTGGGTAGATGTCGAATCCTGTACACCTACGAACTGGTGCAGGATCGGCTGTGCTGTTAGACCCCTTCTTGGGGACATCAGAAACGCATGAGAGGGAACATGCTTTGTGTCCAACAACCACTTTGGAGGGCGTTCCAACTTCCTCAGCATCCTTCCATGACGTTGCATTGAGAAAGAAGAGTGCTAATGAGGAAATCTGGAGAACCAATTTTCCTGCTACCCTCCGCGAGCCTAGCCAGGCCAAGCGCAAAGGCATGGGACGCTTAGAGCGCCACAGTAGCGCTGCCGAGGCTAGCAGCTGCTCCGTGATCGACGCAAGCTCTGGGTAATGACCTGGCGGCTTCTGTTCTTGCATCGCGTCTCTCAGAGCCGATCGTTGGCAGACAGCATGCCAAAACAAAATCGGGGGCTGCGTGTTGACACAGCCCGCATGTTTGGCAGTGTGGCAAGGGACCATGCCAATATCTTGACAAGGTTTAAGGGCATTTTTCGAGCAGCTTGAAAACCCAAAGGAGCCTAAGAAAGCCCTGTGCAACATTTCCCCGCGGGTCTCGTCCGTGGCAGCGCACCAGTCAGCAACTTTGACAGGTCCTGCTCGCGCAGTGGTCCCAGCCAGACCTGGAAAACTCTCCGCTGAAGCCGACCGACATGACTCAAAATTGGGCGAAAGGGAATCCAGATGCCATCGGAGACCAGAGCCTTTGTCTAGGGAATCCAGAAGCCAGCGAAGAGCCTCTGTTTAGATGACAAATAGGTGAAAGGAAATCCAGAAGCCGTCGGAGACAAGAGCCTAGTTTGTTTAGATGAGACCTAGACAATCCAGAAGCAAGAGCTTAGTTCAAACAAACTCCTGCCGTTTTTTTCAGGTTGGCCCAACGCTTCAGACCAAGCATGGAGCCATTAAAAGCATGCCCTGCAACCCAGACAAAATATGGCCATGGGTCAAAATCCAAATCGTACCCCCAGTGAACATCCCAATCCCCACTAAAATAGGTTCTAAAATGGGTGGTGCGCCTACCCCAAAATGGCACCGTTAGTTTGGACCCACAGCTATATGGCTGTGGGTCAAAATCGGTACTGAAAATGAAACCCTGGTAAATGGAAACATAAACTAAAACCTGCGGTCCAATTCCTGGTTGCTTAATTTTGACCCAAACCCATATGGATGTCAAAATCCCAGGCCCAAAATGGCTCCTTGGTTTCCCCCACAGACTTGAAACCTGCTTGGTTTCCCGGGATTGCGAGCGATGAGATGAGCCACCGGACCCTCGTCCAAGCAGACACCAGCGCCGGCACCTGGGACCGCGCCACAGGGCTGGGTCTACGGTTCTGGGAAAGGGAGGGTTTTCAGTTTCCCGTCCTTCCAAACAACTTGCTGGTTGGATGGGCAAGGAATGAGGGAATGACCCCTACCCATCGCCTATGGTTTCCTTTCAGGGAATCACCAAAAACAAAAAACGGTTCATTCTTAACACCCTGAGGTTTGAAGGAAGGCAAACATTGATTTTTAGGACGCCCTTTTGAGTCGCTTTCTTCCCCCGTGGCTTTTCAGATGCTTGTCTGTCCGACAGTTTCAACTGAGTTTTTGAAACAAACCTTGCTGCTGCTCCATGCTCATCTTCCAAGTCATCATAAGGCTGAAAACACCCGCCCTGTCGACTTATCATGAACCGCCAGTGCCAACCACTTCAATGCCCTTCCCTTCATCCAGTAGGGCAAACGAAACACTCCGCTCGGGGTGCAGGAAAAACCCTGCGATGTCGCAGCGAAAGCTGAGGAAGGAGCACGTGCCCTCGGTTCATGAAGGCCTGCTGCTTTGGCCAAGCCCGAAAACGCCGCTTGGCCGAATGCTGCCGGACAAAAACGCGCTGGGTGCCGCATCTGATGGCCTTTTCCGGACAAAGAGCAGGTCTCGGCTATGTGCAGGCAAGGCCGAGGAGACTCTTTTTGAGCGTATTGTATTTACCCTTGTTAGGGCTCGTTCTGAAGGGAATCCAAAAGGAGCCCCCCTCCTTTCGCACCCCCAACCAGCATTTCGAGGGGTTCCCTTATTTGGAGACAAACCCAAATGAACCTCAAAACGACCGAATGTCAACCTTCGCGCTCGCCTGCATCAGCAGCTGCCTGTGAGGCGCGCAAAGTGGGATTTGGAAAGAAGCCATCAAACAACCGCTGGATTGCATGTTGCCCGTGCAATCCTGCCCTGCAAATCCAAACCATTGAGGGGTAGGACACCATCCCACAGCTCCAAGCACATCCCAATGGAAGGAGCACCTACCAGCCCACCATCCTTGCCAGCGCCGCAAACTCAAGCTGGCTGACATGCCAAGGAAAGCGGCAGCAAGATGCCTCGTTGTCCGGGCCGCTCTCCGTCCACAGCCTGTGCGCAAGAGTGGAGGGGGTGCCTGATCTGAGATATTATGTTTGAGAAGGAAGAACGAGACAAAGGCAAGGCAGCGGAGTGATGCACGCACCTGCAGGCAAGGAGACCAAGGCAAAAGTCGAATACAGGCAACATGCAGGGGATGCCAGGGATGCCAGGGATGCCAGGGATGCCAGGGATGCCAGGGATGCCAGGGATGCCAGGGATGCCAGGGATGCCAGGGATGCCAGGGATGCCAGGGATGCCAGGGATGCCAGGGATGCCAGGGATGCCAGGGATGCCAGGGATGCCAGGGATGCCAGGCTCTCTTAAAGGCACAGTTTCAGGGATCCAAATAAATCTTGCCACATACCCTCCTCGAAAAACACCAGTCTCTCTTTTTGGCCCCTAGCACCTCAGGAGTGTTGGCCTTGCAGCACTGTGTATCCCCTGCGATTGTCAAACATTGGGCAACCCCAGTACATTCCTCGCATCCCCAACATACAAAACATGCCAGGCATCCCTGGTGCAGCATCTCTAGCATTCCTAGCATCACCAGCATCTACAACCCCGCAAAACTAGCATCCCCAGCATTCCCAGCATCGCCAGCTCCAATAGTATCAAGAGCAGAACCAACTGCATATAAGATATGAAACCTGGCAGTCAGTAGACTCCTAGTACAAGTTCCTATGTGTAGAACCGGTGTCGCTTGCTGTAAGCTATAAGTCACGCCCACATGGCTCAAACCGGTCGTCTTCAAAAGGCAGCTACAGCTGCAGTGGGCGAAAAGTAGTCCAATTCGGGCGCCCAGCACAGGCTGCGAGCCGCAGGAGAAGGTGCCGAACAACTGGAAGTCCTGGCAGTGCATGTGTCTACACTGGCCCTTCCCCCAGAAGCGTCAACATCGAGAACCAAAAGATGACAGAGGATTTGAGCTATCCACCCTGCGTGATCCTTTGGTTCTCTAATGGTTCTTCTGGTAAATGGAAGCCAGAACATGACATGTTGCTTCTAGTGCTATGGTGGCTGCTCTTTGGCTAGCTGAGAAAAATCGGCGACGCTCCAAGGAACAAAAAAAAGTGCACAGGGGAAAAAGCCGCCGTGCCGCAACTGGCATCCTGTTGGAGACTCAACTTGAGCCGAAACCAGCCCTGACAATGTCGTCTTCTGGCGCTCCTGGTGTGCCTCGATGCGCTGATTTCTCTCTGGAATCACCTCAGGCGCAACAAATCCAACAGCGGCCAACAGAACCTATGGCCACGGTTTGCAACACGGCCGGCCAGCTCCGGAATTCTGCGCCTCGGCGAAAGTTGACGTGCAAACCGCATCGGGAAAAGTCGTGCGTCCAAATGGGCAAGCCTGGTTTGGGGCAACAGAGCGAGGTCGGCACGTCTCAAAAGACGAGATGCACCAAGGTCAACATTTCCCTCTCTGCATCCTTTTCCGAATCCCGGCACAGCCCAGTTCAAACGACCAGAAGAAACCAAATGGGCAAGGCGGAGGCAGAGGAACATGAAAGCAGCGAGCGAGGCAAAGCTGAAGCTTCTTGGTGCTCAAGGAATGGCCAAGACGTTTTGGGAAAGCAGTTTTGGGGCGGCCCCCGAAAAAAATGAAACCACAGGAGAGGGTGTTTCTCGGGGTCCGACTCCCTTTCTCTTTCCCCTAAGCCCCACACCAGGCGCCTAGAATCTGCCAGGGGCAGCAGAGCGGCCAGCACCTCGCGGCCGCTACGGGCCGATTTTTTCAGCAGCTCGGCCTTGCTTTTGGCTTCCCGTTTAGAAGAAGAGAAAAAAGGACCCTCGACAAAAAACAAGGCACGCCGGAATGGACCCCTGCCGAATGGGATCAAAACTCGTGTTCCTCCAAAAGCACCCGAGCTCCGGCGCTTTGTTCCAGCGATGACTCTCTGGATCTCGGTGCCTCTGCTGGCACCCGGTCCACGTCCTCCAGCACCAGCCATCTGAGTGGCCCGAAAAGGTCGCGGTGGGCCGAGGAAACGATCTGGCGGGCATAGGGTTCTCCCACGGGTCAAGAGACGTCCTTGCTGCTCACCCTCGAAAGAGACATCCCGACATGTGACACAAAAAAGGCCAGCACTTGTTGAAAGGGCGGGTGGGTGCTTCGGAACTCGGAGAATGGAACCCTGCTTCTTCCTTTTGGTCCTTGCTCAGATCTTCCTTCGCTATGATCATTTCAGGCAAGCCTCTTGGTTGGTTGGGTGGCAACCCGAGAAAAGCGCCTTCGCCCAGAAGAAAGCAACCCAAAAAAACAACAACTTGTTCAAACGGACTTTGAAGAACCGTGGGTTTTCTTTGTCCTCGCCCTCTTTTGGAAAAGCACGTTGTGGCCAAGCCCAAAAACTCGTTGGAATACGCGACCAAACCCCCTTTCGAGCGCTCAAACCCGCCAAAAAAATGGAAAAAGGCACCCCGAGTCCACCAAAACCTGGCCGCCTGCCCTTCCGCCAGCCTGCCCTTCTGCAGGGCTTCCGTGACCACCCCAGGCCGCCAAAGGAACTCCCCCACCTGGCCGTGCGGCGCGCGCTTATAGCAAGCCGGCCGTGCCTTCGAATGTCTTTCACGCCCAGGCGGGGTTCTGTCCCTGTCTTCTTCTTTGCGGGTTTGTTTGTGTCTGTTTTTTGGGGTCCCCTGCTTGGTTGGTGTGTCCTGTCTGCTTTTTGGCGGGCTTGTGTGTGTGTGTGTGCGTCTTGTCTTTTGTTCGGTTCCCGCCTTGGGTTGGTGTTGGAACCCAAAAGGAAAACTCCCCCACGGAATGGGGATGCGCGGTCGCAAAAAGTCGGATCCAAATTGCCAAATGATGTTGTGGTAGTTGTTTCATCCAGACCGTCTCAAAAGACACATCCCCCAAGCACGACGCTGCAGAAACTACATAGACCTTTTCGGGCTCCGTGTGGAGGAAAGCATGTGTATAAACGTTGACCCTTCTTGGGGATGGTTGGAGCCCAGGCGCCTGACACACACGCACACACACGCAAGGGTGACTCTCAGTCCAAAGCATCGCTTCTGCATGCAAAACCAATCACAAAAAGATGTAACCCTGGGCCGACTTTCGGGGTCAAACACTCTCCGAGCTGCAGACCGTCTGGCCGCAAACATAGGCGCCCAACAGCATTTTGATGTCGGTCCTGACGGCAAAGGGCGAGCCCCACGGTGTCTCTGAAAACTGCGGCCCTCCTCGTTTCAAACAACCCCTTGGGGAGAAAGAAGAAAGCACAAAAAGACGACCGCTGCGTGCTTCCGCCCAGGAGCATATGAGACCCCATCCCTGCTCTCTGCCGTTTCTGCGCGCCGCGACATTCCGCGACATCAAAGCCGCGGAGTCCGCACTGAGCGACCCACTGCTCATCGCAGAACAGAAAGACCTCAGATTCCCCACAGAAGGCGTGTGCGCGCATGGCAACAAAACCTACGAACTGACCAAACTGCATGCTTCAACCGCCTGCAGATGGCATCTCAGACCCCTCGCTGCAAACATGAAACAGAAGTTGCTCGAGTCAACGCCTAAGTCGGGAGGTCCGTTGTCAACGAGCCCCATGCCGCGTTCTCTATAAGTCCAGGGCCGGCTCGTGCTGCCCCATGAGTTGCGCCTGAGCAGCCACATTCTCTGCTTGCTAATCCTAGAGGCTTCCCTTGCGGCCCTTCTGTCACTCCCCAAATGCAAGAGAGAGAGAGAGAGACAGCGGGTTCCTGAGCTTGACAAGCCCCATCAAGCCAACCATCTTCAAAATCACCCTCTTTGTCCGGCAGTTTCAAGAACCCGGAACCCAAACGTTTGATTGCGAAGCCTCGAATGTTTTTGTTGTGGGTTTGTAGCTTTGTCTGAAGGTACTTTTCTTGGCTTGGTTTCCGACAGAAACCAAAACAAAATCGGGGGCTGGGCTGGGCCCACGCTTTTTCTCTCACACGCCCTAAACAACCCTTTGCCTGGCCGGACTTGTCCGAGCCAGGCACGGCTCGTCGCAGGAAAGTGGTCTTCCCCACCCCCGAGGGGCCGCTGAGGAGCACAGGGCTCTGCACGCCTGGACGAAAACAGAAGCCAGAAGTCGTGAGCATCCACGAAAAAAATATACCCATGAGGTCATGGTCCAAAACTCCTTCTTTCTTCGGCCTATGGTTTCCTGCAGAGGAATCTGGTCCAAAAAAAAATGATTGTTTGGCCTATGGTCCCTGGTTCCCTGCGCAGGAATCATTGTAGCACTTATTAAGGATCTTACTAAGGTGGATCGACCATCCCTGCTAACCCCAACGAAAGGGGTCTTTTGACCCTGGCACAGGTGTTGTTGACATAAACATTACAACCCCCAATAGAGGCCATCCTGATTTTGAGAACCGCTTTGTACGGCGAATTTTCGAAAAGGATTCGTTCATGTCGGTGTCCTTTTACAATGCTCCTAGCACTCAACATGAGAAGCTGTCCCAGACCACCAGACTTCTCCACAGGACATCACAGCATCTTGAAACGAATACCCTTCTGGGTGGCCCGTCATTTTTTGAAAGTGTCGCTTTGCAACGGAAAACCAAAAGGACAACCACCATTTTTGGGGGGTCCAATCCAAAAAAAAAGACACACCCTTCCATGGTTGTTGTTGGGACACATTTTACATGTTTGCTTATTGTGGTTTAGTGGTTGAAATCCCTACTGAACTGAACTGCTAAAATTTGAACTTTTTTGCTCCCCTTCCAACGTCAACCAAGGCATAAGATTCACGCCCCTAGCACAGGCCTTCACTTCGTGGATTTCGAGCCACTTGAAACCCTGGACCGAGCTCTGTTTGATTTGTGGAGCTTGCCCCCGGACGCAATCCTGGAAAAGGCCTTATGGAAACTTACTCGTCTCGCTTGACCCCGCGACGGAAATAAATTCCCCGACGGCTCGCGATTGCGCGCGAGTCGCCTATGGCCAGCAGCAGCTGCCGCATGGCCTGCAGAGCTGAGCTGCGAGAATGGCACCATATTTTGTGCAAGTGGCCCGCAGGGGAAAAAAAAAGGACAACCAAAAACTGGAGTGTTGCAACTCGGGCTTTAATTAAAAAGAATGGAGTGTTGCAATTCGGGCAAAAACAAAGTGGAGTGGCAACTCAGGCTTCTTTTCAGAAGAAGCTAGCTTGCGTGAGAGTATATCAGGGTTGTCAGAACTGTTTTGGTGTCAAGCTAGGGACCCGTGACTATCACAGGGGTCAGCAAACAAACAGCTTCACCTTCCTCCGCTTTTCATTCGGGCCTTTCTGCCCGTCAACCTGTGACCTCCCAACTTGATCCAGGCTACACGGGTCCAAATGCGATTCGATGATAAGACTTCCCCACTTCCCACTCGGGGTAGGTGAGAAGACTGGTGTACGGATCCATCCCAAAATGCCTATCGCGCGATCGATCGATCGGTCGGTCGATCGATCGCGTGTTCGCACACCCGCCTGTGCAGCCGGCTCGGTGGAGACGAAGGGCAGAGTCTCTGTGACTTCAGGATGGATCACCTCACGGCTTCGAGGCTGAAGGCCACAAACTCGGGCGATATGCCTCTGGCTTTGGCACATGGGGTTCACCACGTTTCGACACCCTGGTATTCTTGAAAGCAGTCTTTCAACATGCGCAACTTGTACACCAAGCAGGTTGCGAGCATTGCCCTCACTTCCAATCATCATGAAAGTCGCCGAGAGGGTTTTGAAAGACTACTGCCCTGATGAAAAGGCCCCTTGTTCACTTCCACTGCCGCTGTTGGAAAAAGCACAAGTATCGCCGGCCTTGAAGCAAACTCCATGGCGACATCTCACCTCGTTCGTTGGCACAACTTGAGCGAGGCTACATAGTCATCTGAAATACGCCAAGAATTTGATGTCATCTCTATCGACTCCAAGCAATCCGCTGCCGCGACCACGGCAAAACTGAGCAGAATTGAATGTAACCTCAATACCAACTTTGCCCACTTCCACAATCATCCGCTCACACTGGACCACCCGAATAAAGATGTTGCTTCTCAGCCAGCCAAAGTGCCCGGAAATCATGTGCATCCAGGGCACTCCGTCTGCATCCCAGTGAGTGGTGGCTAAGTCTTCCTGCCAGAAGCGAGATGTATGTTGTTTTCTTTTCTGGCTGAAGAAAGGCATGGAACACACAAAGAAACGGCACAAAATACGATCACCCTGGTAAATAGGGGTCAGTGCCAGCCTCTTTCTTTCTAACGAGCATAGTGTACCTAAGACCTACACGGCACTGATCTTACAAAACGAAAGAGACGGAGACTCTCGCTAGGGTGTATCACTGGGGGGCCAAACTTGTTTGACCCCAACCCCGTTTTTGGATAAACCAAAAGGTAAACAGTGGGTCAGATCAGCTGACTCCAGCACACAAAGGAAGGTCTCCGTGTGTATGTGTGCCTTTATTTAGCGGCTTTAAAGCGTGCGTGTGTGTGTGTGTGTGTGTGTGGTCGCTTCCGTTCTTGATCCTCTCTACGTTTCAGTTGCATCTAACTTTACCGTTCGGCAGAAGCTCCAGGCCCGTTCGGGATGGCATTCCCACGTGGGGCGCCGCTGTTGCCTTTCAATTCCGCGTGGAGCACGGGGATACCAAAAAAGGCCGCCATGATCTAAAATCCGAGGCCCGAGTGATATCCCCCCAGCCGCCCTGCAAGGCTAGCTGTCGCTGGCAAGGCAAACAAAACGCTGAAGAAACGGGGATTCCAGTCTCTGGAAAGCCATGAAAGCTATACTTGGGCGAGAGCGAGACAGTGAGGTCTAACTTAGGTCGGCAGACCTGGGCAGCACGAGAAAGGAAGCGATGCATGAGAAAAAATGCTCGGGTTTTAGTCCGAGAAGCTAAAAGTGTCTAAGGACAGCCGTGCACCAAAAGTGTAAGCCAGACCAACCTTTCAAGTTCCAGCCTGCTAAGCGATTGGTTGGGGGGGTCGATTGCACCGCCGCTTTGAAAGCGAATACTCTGCAGGTGTACTTTGTTGAACGTGTATGTGCTCTTGCTCCATCTTTTCCTCATCAATTCGCTTGGTACGTTGAAGAGCTTGCCTCCGATCTCCCGGTCGCGGGCGCATCGTTGCAGCGCCTTTTCCGGGGCTCCGTTTGACAAAAATTCGGGGCCGAAACATGGAGCGGTTTAGGCTCCGACAAAAACAGGTCAAGAAGTCAACAGCTGAAAGCTCATGGACCGCAGTAAGACAAGATGAAGCCGGGGAAGAAGCAGGTGTGTCCGACACAATGTTTCGGTCCAAGTCCACGCTTGGTTCTTCCAGCACATGTGACTTGGTGCTCGGCAACAGGGCAAAAAAACGGCTCGTCTGTTTCAATGTCGCGAAAAGCAGTTTGTAGGCAAAGCAGCCTCTGGCGCTTTCGGGGTTCAGCATTCAATATCTTCTTATCCAGCCCATGGAAGGCAAGTTTCTTCACCGAGGCAGCGGCAATTCTTGCAGTCGAACTTAAGACTTTGAGCCCACGTGACAATTTGACCCACGGAAGGCGATCTTCTTCGGTGCGGGATGCCGGGGATGCGGGGACGAGGCGGTCATCATTTCAGTTTGCGGAGCTGAAAGTGTTCGAGGCCATCCGGATTCAGAAAGGCGCGACCTCAAAACATGTTTTTTCGAGAATCTATATATGACGCTTCTGCGCGGTCTCGTTGAAGCCTGCGTTTCACGCAAAAGAATGCTGCAATATGTCTTACAAAGGTGCTGACTGGTCCTTGATTGCCTTCCATAGCATGCAGCAGCATGCATTTATTTGCCCGGGTGTGCCAATGATCGAGCAGCAGATGTTTTTTTTTTGAGAAAATGTGTCCCCTAACTTTTCTGGGATGGAGTGGGCAGCCTTTGCCTTACCTGTGAAAGAGGAGCTCTGCACCGTGATTCCCGAGTCCAATATTTTAATTGTCAAGCAAAGCATAAACAACACCCATTGATTTGTGTTGTTTCTTTTCAATAAAACCCAAGTAAAGGTTGGTGAAGGTTCGCAGGGCCTGTGACTGCATCTCGTCCAGGACCAGCGCCCTCAGGCTTGAGTGACACGAAAAGCACGTCCGCTTTTTCATTCGGGTACCGCAGTCACGGCATTCCTTGCTAGGTGCATCCGTGTTTCCAACATCTTTGCTACGGCAGCGCCAAATATCTCGCACGTATGTTCTCGCACGACTTGGGTGAGTCGATTTTTTTTCGAGGGTAACTCTTGTGCAGTGGTTTTAAAGGGACGCCAAGAGCGGAACCCGAAGCCGTGCTTAGGGGGGTCTAACCTCTCTTGAGACACACCCATGTGGCCTTTTGGGTAGCAAAAAAAGCCAGCCAGCAAAACCGATACGCCAAGGGCGGTGCCTGTCAGGAAGGAAGCCTGGCGAGCTGAGCGGAGCACTGCCATTAAATGGTGGGAGCAGTAAAAAAAAGAGGAGCAGTCTGCTTGAATTTTAAATGCCCCTTAGACAGGCTTAAATCCCCTTAAACAAGCTTAAACTAGATTCCCAAAACCTCCCCAATTTAACTTCCTGGAGAATATCTTGGAGAGCTTTTCTCTGACATTTGGGCTTGTCTTTTCGCTGGGTTACATAACCTTTGCAGCGTGCTTTGACGTTCTATTTTTTTTAACAAGGAAACCGGCCAGTTGAGCGGCTCCAACAAAAGTTGGAGACAAGCCCGTGTGTGAAACTTTCCTTTTGGACAGTTTTGGGTCTGACATTGCGGCTGCGTCGGACATTTGCGGACCGTTTGCCGAGCTTATGTGGATAGGCTTGCCGAGTGGCCTGGCCGGGTCGTGATTGAGGGTACCCCTTTTTTTGGTGGCTTTAAAACGAAAGTCAAATGGAGCTGGCAAGCGCCACATTCCACGCCTCGCGCAGCAAAGCCGCCATGCCTCGCGGGCAAGGACTCATTTGGCATGCCCCAAACTCACAATCGGCCCTGCTTTGGTTGCACGGATTTGGGGTCTTCAAATGGGCATGGTTCAAAATGACAGCCGGTTTCCCTTTACATCAACCCCAACTCGGCAAAAGCTCCTCTTCATTTGGCACGTGTGGCGAACCACTTCACCCAACGAAGTGGCAGCCCGGGATGGGTAAGTGTTCTGTGTAGAATTAGCAATAAACTGCATGTGCAGTATGTGTGTGTGGTTGTTTAGCAGTGAGTTGATGAGTTGAGAAGAAATGTGCTGCCAATTGGGCGTGTTCTCAAACAGTTAATGTTGACCCCAGATTAATAAACCCTGGTTGATTCATAGGGGGTTGTCCCCTTTTAGTGGTTGGATTCAGACCACTTTTGGAGGGGTCTTCCCCCCTATGGGACGGGTTCTACTTAGATCCGGGGTCAACATTATGCCCCCTTTTGGGACCTCCCATGCCGTTGGGCCCAAACCTGAAGCGCTTCGGAAGCACGCTGGGCTCTCTCAAGGAGTTCCCTGAGGCCCGAGGCCCCCGCGACATAAAAAACGAAGCGGGTGGCCAGAAGCGAGCAGCGGTTTTCTTCTGCTTTAGGCTGGCTAGGTTGTCACTGTTGCTCGGCGGGTGGCTCGCATCTCCAAGTTCTTGCTTTTGAAATTTTTGTGTGTGTGTGTGTATGGCAGCTGTTCATCTTTCAAAGCAAAAAGAAATGTTGCACGTCACTGCACAATGAAGGAGACTTGAAAAAGGCTGCGAGTTTAACTACTCTCATGTGCTCTCGGCTCTCCAGGCATTTTCCACCTCTGGCGTCCTTTTCCTAACTTTCGCCTGGTCTACGCTGGAGCCGGGTGCAACGGAGCTCTCCCTTTTGGGGGTGTTTGGCAAGCGGCTTCAGTGAGTTGGAGTCCTCTTCCAATCCCAACTGACAGCGATCCCTCAAAAAAAATGCTCTAGCGGGATACTGGGTGGGGGTGTGGTGTAGAAGCATCGCAAATGCGGATTCCAACATAAAATCTAACAACCCCTTCTTGCCGGGTGGGGAGAAAAACAAGTCAAACAATTCACACCTTCTTCGGTAGTTCACAAATTTACAGCATCTGGCGTTGGTTGCAGCAAAGACATACAACCAAAACCCAGGCGTTGCATTTTGCATCGGACCTTTCCAGTCTTTGCACGACTCCCAGCGAGAGCCCTCACGTGCTTCAGCTTCCGCCAAGGAGGTGCCAGCGCTACCTTGCACTGTCCAAGTTCAAGCCAGCGGCAGATCGAGACCCCAAAACGTCGCCTTACCCCCCAAAGCCTTTCAACATGGAATCCCCCCAAGCAAAAGAGCTTGGAATCCCCAAAAAAAGAAAACTGCACCCCCCATTTACCCCCCAAACCTTTCAACATGGAACTTCCAAGAAAGGAAAAGCGTCCACACCCCGGAGGAGCTGGCCAATGCCGGGCAGGCCGCTTCTTCACGTAGGTGTGCCACACTTCGCTCTTCTCGCCTCGCCAAACGCTCGCCAGCTCACGAGCCGATCGATTCAAAGCGTCAGGTAAGTGGTGGCGCCTGGTGAGATAACCCAAAGCCATGGTTAGAAGCCTCCGTGAAGGTCGAAAACAAGGCATACGAACCACTTACTACGTACCCCATCGGCCCTTTAAGTATGCAAGTCTGATTCTACCCGCTATCCAGAAGGGTGTGTCTCTTTTTACGGGACCCCCCCCCAAAAAAAAAAATGAAACAAATGGGTGGCTTCTCCTTGGGGTGCTTTATTTGTTTCCGTAAAACGCACAAAAGCAGACGCTGCCCCTCCAAAAAAAGGCTCCACGCCCAAACGCTGGTTTTTTCTTTTTCTGCACCGGTTCCCACCCACCCACCCACCGGCTCACCGGTTCACCGCGCTTAGGAGCTGACAAGACGGCTCGTCCAGGCCGAAGAGCACAAAACAAAGGCCCTTTCCTCAGATTTCTGTGGCTCTCCCAAAAGCCGTGATCCAAAATCAAAATGGCACCAGAAGGGAAATGGAACCAAAGACGATAAAACCTGCGGTTGGCAAAAGAAGACGGAATCCCCAAAATCAAAATGGCACCAGAAGGTAAATGGAACCAAAGACCATAAAACCTGCGGTTTTTCCCTAGCTCCGGAAAATGTTGAGCCACAGCCAAATCGATGTCCTGCCACTAACTTTGAGTTGTTTGATTTTGTCAGGCGCTTCAGCGGAAAAGAAACATTCCGGGTAGAGACATTCAGCCTGGAGAAGAAGAAAAACAACTTGAGTCCATCTTATCTCGTGTCAACCCAAGATTGGCTCCCTCACAAACCGCTACCCTCAGAGGACAACGGGGTGTATACACTGTGCGCATTGCTGCTAGTGCTTGTATCTCCCATTCAAGGCTTGGCGGTAGTTGGTTGAAGTCATGCATAGGTAGGGAATGTGGGTATGAGCCCAGGGGTCCCTTAAAGGAAACCACGAGTTGGATGGTTGATAAGGGTAATTCCATTTCTCATTCCCTGCCAATCGCACCAGCAAGCCAACTTAGAGTGGCAAAAGACTACATGCACGCCAGGCTTCCTTTGCTCTTCTCTTTGAAGAGGATGGCCTCACAGTCCTCGACAGACGGCAAACCGGCAGACGGCACGTGTTCCATCGGGAGACGCTTGAGCTTGAAGACCAGCCAGGGAGCAAATGCTATGGTCGTCCCTCAGCCCAGCGGGGCCGCTGAAAAAAAAAAAGGGGGCCTATGGTTGGACTTTGGATCAGAGTTGCTTGCACCAGAAGGTATGGTACATCAGCCCATGTTCGTGTCACATATGTCCCTTTTGGGTGAATCTTATCTGTTGGTGCACGTGTTAGGACAGTTTATGTCCAGCCAGTGTTTGAGTAGTTATCCATTGCAAAATACATAGCCAGAGTTGGCCTGCAATGTCTACGCCTGTTTCAGTCTCTCAATTGAAAAAGTATGGGGCCAAGCCCCTGCAAAAACAGAATCTTGCTGAACAACCCCCCCTCCTTGCTGCCCAACCTGGTTTTATCTCTCAAGAAACTGTGCGATTCGGAGGAATCACAAAAAGAGAAGCCACGTGGGTAGGTTTTAGTCCATGTTTCCATTTGCCAGGGTTCCATTTTGGGTACCTATTTTTGACCCACAGCCACATCTGGTGGGGCTTCGTCAAATCCAAAGTGACATGGCACAAGCCCCATGAGAAATCGACTGTCCTTCGGTTCCACTTCTCGCTTCTCTTCCAGACCTCGGGTCAATGCGAGTGTCGTGCGGATTTTTTTGTTTTGAAAGACACACCCTCCCTTCCACTCACATGGCATCTCTGGGAGGGTACCTGGAAGATTGGTCTCTTCCAGGAGTCCATGTCTGGTGCTATATTAGTTGGAGGGGGGGTAAAGCCCTGGTCACCGCACATGGAGGAGAAAGAAAAAGAAGAGAGCGGATGCGCTGCACTGCACTCCAAGAGGCACTTGGTCTTGCAGTCCGTCAAGGAGATCACGCCTCGTTTCACGCGAAAGCCGCGCAAAAAGCGCGCCTCGACTCGTCAAGTTCTGGGGTCGCAAAAAGGGCATGCGGGAAATAAAGAGGCGAGACTCCCAGGCAAATGGATCATTGCTCTTTTCTCTCATGCTCGGCCATTGAGTCAAAGATCCAGAGACTGGAGGTCTCAGTTCCAGGCGAGAGCAATTCTCGCGACAGAAAGTCTCTAGGAAAAAGCCGCTTTGTCCATGCCGCAGTGCAGTTGACACGCGGCCAGTTTCCGTTTTGGTCTATTTTCAAACACCACCCATCAATGAGTCACATGGTGATGGGGAACGTGCTTTGAGTAGCCCCTCCAATCGTTCCCCAAAAAGAAAAGAAAAGAAAAGAAAAGAAAAGAAAAGAAGCACACGTGAAAATATGGTTCTTGTTGGCTGTCCATTGGCTGTCTTTCTTCAAAAGCGGCCCAACACCCCGGTGTCTGTGTCGGCTGGTCGACATGGTCAACCCTCGGTTGCCCCTCCACGTTGCACCTATGAACCTTTTGGGAAGGACAATGTCCCCTCGAAGCAGAATTTGATGTTCGCCCCACATTCATCAACCTGGATCATTCAAGGTCCTGTTGTTTGTCCGCACAAGTGCTCCGGATCCCTCCAAATGCGTTGCACACACCCCTTCACCATCCATGGGGGCCAATATTACCATTGGGTGTGAAGTTGGTGGACATGATTTACATGGAATGCTCATGTCCCCCAGCCATTTTCGGCTCATGTCAGCTCAAAGGTTTCGACGGGACGCACGCAAGGTTTCTCCTGTGTCTTGGCGATCGGGTTCCCCGTTTCTTTGGAAGCACTCACCCGTTCAACTTGCTGGTGCGATTGGCAGGGAATGAGAAATGGAATGACCCTTCATAAACCATCCAACTGGTACTTTCCTGTAGGGGCACCAAAGCCTGGGCTCATTCCCACCTTCCCTACCCATCGCACCAGCAAGTCAACCATCTTGAAATGGGTATGGGTCAAAATTAGACCACCAGAAAAACCCGCAGGTTTTGGTCCCTAGTTTTGACCAGCCAAAAATCATCCCCCAGCGATCGGATCATCGGATCGGACGGACCGCCTCGCCCGGACCGCGCTTGGCTGAAGCACTTGGTCTGCGTCTTCTCCGTCCAGGAGGACAAAGCCCTTGCCATGATCTGCTTGGCGAAGGGCGACGCCTCGCCGCGAAAAGCGAGGAACGGAGGCAGGGAATGGGAGGAGACTCATGAAGCCAACCTTTTCCAGGGGGTACCTTCCATTTTCATTCCTTTCCGGGGATCCGGATCTTTCTAGAAAACCTCCGGAAACCCAGGTTGAAAACGGCTGCTTTTTTGAAAAGCACGGTGGTGCAAAAAAAAGGGAACCGGAGGCAGGGAATCCCCCCTACCTCAAAAGGGAGGGGGTGGGGGGTCCCCCGATTCCATTGATCCAGTCTTCCCCAAAGGGAAAAGTGGGTCACCCCCCTCCCCCAGGTCCATTTTCAACGCGGGGATGGAGGGGGAGACTCATGAAGCCATCATTTGTCTGACGTCTAAGGGATACTCTGAGGGATACTCTTGGGGGAGATGGCCACGCCAAACAATTCCAGACCATGCCCAATGCCCACACTGGGTCCTAGGGTTTAGTGTGTTGAGTCGACGGAGACTTAACGCCAAACTGGGACAGAACCGAACGACCCAGGCCGAAACGGCGGCACGCCGACCTCCCCCCAAGTCAGAGCCCCCCTTGTTGCAAGACCATTTTGGGAGCTGGTTAGACCAAAAAGTCCGCGTGGTCCGGGGTCGAACCGCGAAACATGGTCAACAAAACCTAACGCCCAAACGCAACGGGCTCCGCAAGCTAAAGGAAATCACATGGCCGACTGACGAATCTGTGCAAAAGTCGTGAGTCAAGGGGTGCTCTGCAATGGGGAAAACCCAGAACAGGTCCGCCGAAAAGGAGTTCCTTCCAAAAATTTGGTGTTCCGGCTCTCTCCATGTTCAGAGTAAAGCTGGGCACTCTGAAACACTTGCAGCCTCAGGTTTGAAACTTCTCATGGACGGCGAAGGAATATGTCTGGCACGAGCCCAAAACCAAC